TGTAATTATATACTGTATTTAAAAATAATAAAATAATATAAATAATTATAAATTTAATTTTAATTTAATTATCAACTAATCAACTAATCAACTAATCAACTAATCAACTAATCAACTAATCAACTAGTTGGTTAGTTGTGTAATTTTATGTCACGTGATACATTAATTGATTAGTTGCAACTATAGTTGACAACTAATCGATTAGAAATTTTTTTACCAACTAAGATCACTATCGGAGGTAGCCATCAACAAGTCGAATGAGAAATATATAAAGGATCTGGAACGTAAATATACCCGATGTGAGAATGAAATTCAATCTCTCAATAAAAAATTGGAACGTCTCGAGAATACTTCAGAAGAAGAAAAAGCAGAGTTGAGATCGGAGATATCGTCCCTTAAAAGAAACTTATATCAAGCTAAAAAGGATATCCGAGATAAGGTATCCTATATCGATAGTATAGAGAAGCAATTACAAGAATCGAAAGAGCAGGTTCAAAATTTACGGCATAGATTCAAAGTTATTTCTTCGAGAAGAAACTCTCCAAGTTTATATAATTCAGAAGAAGATACAGATATGGCGAATCTCGACCTTTTTATACAAATCGACTGAGGCTTGAATCATATTGAAAATCACATCCGAGGTGCTGGAACGCCGTTAAATAATCCTATAAATATTATAAATGGTATTAAAGGTTCCTTAAATGCTGTTCGTTTTAATTATCAATCTGCATACCAGGATATAGATGCTGTTATAGCTCAACGGGATGATAGCAATAATCAGATAGTCCAGCTACAGCAGGATGTCAATTTCTATAGACAATGGAATATCGTTTTGCAAAATCAAGTTAATCAGCTTACCCAAAATAATTTTCAGAACCAAGTCAATCAGATTACCCAAGAACAAGATAACTTACAGAACCAAGTTAATCAAATTATTCAAGAGTAACATAATTTACGAAATCAAGTTAACCGACTTACTCATGAGCGTGATAATTATCAGAATGATCTTACTTTGATGACTACAGCTTATAATAACGAACAGGGAGAATGTCGTCGCTGGTGGTTCTCATATCGTGATAAAAATAGACATGTTGATGAATTAATTCGAGAAAAGTTCACTATTCAATTATTATTACAACGATGCCATACCAATAGTAGGGATTTATAACAAAGATATGATATGCGAGGGCATTTGTGGTATAATATTATCTTGGCATTAGAAGAACAATCAAAACTCAAACATGTTCTTAAAATTATTTATAAGGTATTTATTCATCGTTTAGAACAGGAGCTACAACAATGCCGGGCTGATAAAGGATTATTAGAATATAATCGAGATCGGCTCTTTGATAGATATTACAATAAATTCAAGGATCGGAAGACAAGTCATATTAAGTGGAAAAATAGAGAGCGCAATTCATGGCAATTAATTTTAAATTTACAAGCCCAAATTTTATTACTACAGAATAATATACCGCAGAATCATAATATGGCGGCCGCCGATAGACAACATATTTATCAAACTATTCAAACAAGTCTTGCCCATATTCCGTCATATATTGGACAGGAACCACCGGATGATTATTGTAATAGGATTGAAACAGCCATTAGCTATACTGATACAATGATTGCTGATGCTAATAATGCAAATGCCAATACTTTTACTGATGCACATAAGGCAGATATTTATAAATCAAAAATGGCAGGAAAGTATTTACCAGTTCCATCTCAACACACAGGAAATAATATCGATACTCCAACCCAATTCAGAGTATGGCTTGGAGATACCTATCTACAAAGAACAGTTGGTACTCGCCAGTCTGCTATTCAAAGATTATCTCAAGAAACATTTAAGGCTGATGATAATCCAGAAACATATGAAGCTAGAATTCATCAATATTTATTAGGTGTGCCTGATAATGATGCTAATGCTTTGGGATTTCTTATGGCTCATCTACCTTCTGAACTTTTTATTCGGATGGAAGGAGTAAATCCTGGCGGAATCACGGCTTTCTTTAATTCACTTAAAGAATTATGGCTCAAGCGTTAACCATCACTTGGCTATAGAGATTCAATTCCCAATCAAATTTTTCAAACTCCAGCTGTTAATATAAAAAATAAATCTCATTCTAATAGTAGTGATATAACTCGAGCTGAAATAGATAATATGATAAAATCACAATTAGCTTTAGCACCAACTACTTCTCTTCAGCCTACACAACCCGCTTCTTCTCAAAGACGAGAAGGACAATTATTACGACCCAGTCAAATGGAACCAGATAAAATATATCAAGATCTTAATTTGCGCTTAAATGACCCAAAATGGCTTCGATTGGATGAGGCAATGGATCATTTTAGTGCTTTAGCAGGTCCATCTTATCTGCAAACTTTAATGAATACAATTAGTAAAGAAGTGATAGATAGAATTACGCCTCTCTTACCTAAGAAGAAAAAAGAAACCACTCCCATTACTGATGATGTAGATGAAATCACAAAGGGTATGGCTGAGTTATCGATAAATGAGGCTATATTCAAAGGTGTATCTAAAGGTATATCACAAGGAATGAAGGAAGTATATGCTGTTAGTGTATCATCCAAATACCGCTGTTCAAAATGTCATAGAAGTGGTCATCATTCAAATTCTTCTAAATGTCCGAAAAATAAAAAGAAAAGCAGATCCAAAAAAAAGGTGGCTATTAATGACTCTGGTTCCGATTCAGGTTCCGATTATAACTCTTCCAATAGCGATTCCAATTTTGGATCTGATTCTGATAATATATCCTCTGAAACTGAGAGTATGAATGTTAACATTTCCAGAGTAAAAAAAAAGTAAAACGAAAGAGTAAATTATCCTCCGCCATATGGCCTAAAAAGAAATCAGATACGATTATTGACTCACAAATTCGAAAAATTATTCTAGTCATGTTTAACGATCCAGAGGTTATAGAAACGATTAAAAATAATATTAATAATATGAATGTATCTATAACTCGAAGAGTCGCTCCTGAAGGGCCTGCAAAACCTGACTTTATAAATTATCGAGAGCCGGCTCCACTGTACGGCTCAGAAATACCTGATTCAGATAGGGAGGATGAAATGCTAAATGATCCTATGGAGATAGATTTCGTCCGTCGGAAAGAACCGGTAATTAGTATTGCAACTATACCAGTTAAAATCAAACACTTAAAAATTCCAGCATTGGTACTA